CAAACTATTAGCAATTCCCCCTGGTTTGGTATCATTTGCAAATCTCACTGGCTCAAGGTTGACTCAGCCTTCCATCCTTCCGAGGTGGGTGAAATGAGGACCGAGGCCACTTCAGCTGACTGTTATATGCAGTTCGGCTGTTCAAATGTCAGCGGCTCAGGGTTGACTCAGCCTTCCATCCTTCCGAGGTGGGTAAAATGAGGACCCGGATTGTTGTTGGGGGCAATATGCTGACTCTGTAAACCGCTTAGAGAGGGCTGAAAGCCCTATGAAGCGGTATATAAGTCTAACTGCTATTGCTATTACTGGTATTTGAGCTCTTCAGGGCTTCTGTGCATGCCCACGGAGCGTACAGCGCCTGTGCGACGCTCCGCTGAGCAGCTGGAGCATCACAAAGGCGTCACGGAGTGTCACAGGCGGTAAGTACACATATGCATGCTGTGCATGTGTGTGCGCACGCTGTGCACATTCATGTGGTGGATGCCAGCCCCCGTTGCACCGTACCAGTTGCACCAGGATCCGGAACCCACCACTGACTCCGGGGGATGGTAGAGGACAGGAAGGCCTGAAGGAACGTTGTCCATGGGGTCGCGATGGGTCAGATATGACTTTGCAACTAACAACAAGCATTTGCAACTCCAGAATTCAATAAGACACCCCCATAAGATAAAGATGTCTTAGGGGAAGAACTACTACTATAGCAATGATGATGGCGCTTACATTATTTACATTTTAATATCTGGAATTTTAAAAAACATTATTTACCAGCTGAAAAGTCAATTTCAGCATAGTCTTGTTTGCAGAATCCTCTCTTTCATCAGTTCAAAATCTGCCAAACACAGAAGGCTATCATATTAAATGCATATATTTATCTAATCAGCAACATTGGACTTGGTTTCACTGCAACATGGTTTATTTTTCTGGCATTAGCCAACTTGTGGGACTGAACTCATTACATGCAGGTTCAGATCCTGCTCGACCATAAAACTTTTAATTCAGGCTACTTTGATCAAAGTTTATTAGTGCCATCTACAACAGGGGTCACCAACCTTTCGGACCTCAGGGACCACTAAATTCATAACTTTAAATTCCACAGACCACTAATATGATCTGCCTAATGACCGGCTGGGTGGGTATGGCTAGATGGTCATGTGACTGTGTGGGCGTGGCCAACTCAATGTCACTCAAGTCAAGGGGCACCTTGCCAGCCTCTACTCACCCATTCCTTCCCATCCCCTCCTCACCCACCCAGGCTCCTTAGGGCCCCAAGAGCAAGCAGTTGTTGGAACTAAGCAGCCACCATGAGAAAGAGTTGGCAAAACAGCTGGGCTCAGTTCAAAATGGATCTGACCAAAAAGGAGGCTCAGCAGAAGCACTGCACTGACGACTACAAGCATAGGCTTTCCAAGCAGGGGGAAGACATGCAGGAGTGCAAGCCCAGGTACCAGCGCATGGATGATGAGATGGTCAGCCAGTTTCAGGCCATGATACAGTCCCACTGGAACAAGGCCCTCCAGTTCTTTGCCACCAGAGGCACTTCCCTCCAGCCTTCGCCCAAAGCCCAGCATTAGGAGGTTGAAGCAGACGCCAAGTCAGAATTTCTGCCCCCCTCTAACCCTCATAAAACGACCCTGAAGGGGGAGACTCTCTGCAGCAACACAAGCGTTCAATGCACATATCCATCCCAGGGGCCGTAGTTTGAGGACCCCTGATTTAGTGCAATATAAAAAATGCAAATAATTTTTCTGCGGACCACCAAAATTTTCTCGTGGCCCACCAGTGGTCCATGGACCACCAGTTGGTGACTGCTGAATAGAAAAAAGGAATAGCCAATGTTGCAACGTTACATCGTGTGGAATCGACAGTCTGAATCCGCTGATGACACTTGCCCCTGGACGGTCCGGCAGGACCTAAACCGTCCCGAAGAGACGGTGACTGGGAAGACAAGACCTTGCTGGTCACAGGGACATCACAAAGTCCCTGATCAACCCAAGGGAAGCGCTTCCAACCGGCGGCAAACAGGCAGCCCCCAGGCTGACATAGTTGGAGACAGCTCCGGAAAGAAAGAGAAGTGAAAGTGTTCCGTTTGGTGAGGTGTTTTTTTTTCTTTTAGAAGATTGCCCTAAGAAACTTTTTTCTTAAGCTAAATTAGTCATTTAAGTAAGAACAAAGCGGCAAATTTAATCCCTATTGGACTGCTTAGAGAGTTTTTTGCTCTTGCCTGTAACGATGTTTTGTGGATTGTAGTGATTGCAACGTTTCCTGTTCTTCCGCTTGAGGTGAAGAGACTGATTTTTTTTCCTTTATTTCTTATTACTACTTTAACTTTTTTGGCTTAAATTAAAACTTTTTTTACTTTAATAAACCTCTTCTTCTATTTGTTATAATATTATATTAAAGATACTTAAGGAAAAAGTTTTTAAAAATAGTTGAATCTGCCACTTGGAAGCCTAAGTCTTTTTTTTGTTGTTGTAACAATGTANTCTATCTATCTATCTATCTATCTATCTATCTATCTATCTATCTATCTATCTATCTTTGCAGTAACATTAATAGAAGGCTGTAGACAAAGAAATTTCTCTAACCCACTTCTGTAGGAAACAAAAACAATATACATTACATATTTCTTAATTAACTTTTGATTGGGACTTCTATACATATATACAAAATCTGTCAAGTCTCAGCAAGAAAAGTGTGTGTCATGGATGGATGTATCGAACTCGTTTTTGCTTTGAATCTTTTCACATTTTTATTTTTGGTTTTTATTTTCTTGCTAAAAGGCTCGTCATCTTTTGAATGTTATATAAATTGCATGTAACTATTTGCTTGTGACAAGTTGTAGGTGCCATCTCTGTCTCTAAAAGAACCTCATTGTTATGATGATTTGAAAATGAAATCACTACTAGAACTACTACATATATTATTTTTGAGAGGCCCATATATATGATAAGAATGAAACCCCAAACAGGAAATCCAGCATATATTATATATGGCATAGGGTCAGAATATCTGAGGAACCTAAGGCCATCTACTTCATCCTATCAAATCTGATTGGGTGGGCAATGTCCTTAGCACAGGGATAGCGCTGAGATGGATAAGAGGATTTAACAAGGATGTTGAAAACTTAACTTTGGTTTTTAATATTTATGATTTTAATATACATTTATTATGCTTTTTAATTGTTTATTTGTTTAATTGTTGATGGAGGCGTCTGAGAGTTTGATAGAAGATGGCCAGCTACATAAATGTCTTAAAAATAAATAAAATACCTCAAGGATGATAGTCAATTAATCTAATAATTAAATCAATTAATAAATAATCCATTTACAGATCTTTTATTTGCTTAGATTCAGGTCTTGAAAATTTATATCTGTCCAAATGTTGGATTCCAATTCCCGTGAAGTCAAGGCATGGTCAGTGGTGATGGTTATTGGATATTATAATTCAGCAAGATAATGTAACAGAACTACTGACTATACGATCTTTATATTAGCAATTGTACGAGTGGAGAGAATTAGAGTGCATATAGTGGATAGTTTCAATTTGCTGAATTATTTTTAATTTGTAATCATTTGTATTAGCACTAAATATTATTGATTTTATTTTGTTTATGTACTTATGCTTACTAATTTATTTTTAATTGACATTTTCTTTCAGGGATTCTACAAATGAAACTACTGCCCATTCAGATGTTGGTAGTGAATTGGAAGAAACGCAACTGAAGGGGAAAAGAAAACGTGGTCGTCCTGGTAGACCTCCAGTATGCTATTTTTTTTCTCTGAATACCTG